GGTAGGGGGCCGCGCTCGACCGAGGCGGCGGCGGCGCTGCGCTCAGCGAAGCCGGCGCCCAGGGCGGCCTCGCGCACCTTGTTGATGTGGGCCAGGGCGAGTGTCAGGGCGCCCGAGACGAGGGTGGTGGTGGTGCTAGCGACTTCGGCCGGGGAGGTCTCCCGGATCAGGGCCTGTAGCGAGTCGAGGACGGCCGACTCGATGTGGGCGAACTGGGGCAGCTTCTTCGCGGCGGCGGCACGGGTGCGGCTGTTCTGGCTGGTGGCTGCGGCGTCGGCCATCTCGACGTCGCCGGCGGCATCTTTTCTCGGCCTGGGGTTGGGCGGGGAGGGGTACAGCCAGCGGGCGCGGTGGGCGTGTGCGGCAATGATGGCGACCTGGTTCAGGTTGCTGAGGGCCAGGTGGGCATTGACGTAGATCAGGATGTTGGCGATGGCCTTGGAGATGGGCAGGACGTCTCGGAGCAGGGCCCAGGCGCTGGGGTTGGTGTCGACGACGACGGCGAGGAGCGAGGGGATCTCGTCGACGTGGTGGACCTCGTAGTGCTCCGAGGCGTCGACGGCCTCGGCGGCGTTCATGGTCGCGGCGGACGCGGCAGAAAGCGGCGATCCGGTGGTTCGAAAGAGTGGGCGAGCGGTCGTCGCATCAAGGCTGCGTTTGTCCAAGTCAACGGTCAGGGATGGGGCGATATTGGGTCAGGGGTGCATGGAACTAAGCTTCAGGCGCGGTCGGTTAGGATTTCGCGCCCAGTAATCCCTGCCCGTGGTGGGCCTTTGGGTATAACGAAACGCCAGTGCACGTGATGGCGACGGCAATGACGCGGGATTTGGGGACGATCAAACACAGAAAGTAGCATAGATAGCGTCAAAGATGGACAGGAAAATTGAGTCATGGAAATAATAGCATTGAATATCGGAGAAAATCCCGCAGCATCTCAAGGCTATCCCAACCCGCGCTGCGGTCGTGGCTTACGTTTAGGTTGGGTAAAGTCAGGCCTTCTGCGCGCCAGCCCACTGTGGGCAGATTTAATGCCGCTATAGCGTCAGCGCGTCATTCGCTGGCTTTTCACCACCACAGCCTGTGTCATGATGGTGGGGTGTCAATCAAGAGCCAGCGCCTCCAGGCTAACACCATGGGCTCTCACTGATCTCTCACCATCCCTGCAGCCCGACCGACATAACCTACGAGCCAGGCTTTAAAGATAAAGCTCCAAGGGCAGACATTCCATACTGCATTTCTTCTCCAAAACCTACACGATCCTACTGCCGCCGCCTCAGGCGTCCGCCACAAGTCCTTGGGCAGAAGTTCCACTCGCCGAGCACAGATTTCATTCATCTGGTGATTCCGATTTGACTTGCTCATCTCCTTTTGGGACATCGACATCGGTCCTGGACATCATTGTACAAATACCGGACCAGGCTGGGCTTTCTCACTGCCGTCTTGGCTTGACGCAAGCCACCAAAGCGAACATTCAGGGGGGGAAACGAGCCTATTGCGAGCGGCTGCAAAGCTGCTGTGCAACGCAGAACAAAAAATCATGGCAGCCTCCGCTGCAGTGGCAGATAATGCTGCCACTACCGCCGTCACGGCGCCCACAGCTGACAGTACGGCCGCCGCCAGCCGCGAGGATCAACTGCTGCTCCTGCTGGCGCGACTGATGGAAGGCGGACAAGAGGACGACGAAACGTGCCGGGACCTGGACCAGCTGACCAAGCTGCTCAACGATGATCTCGATGTGGCCAAGCGCGGCAAGGCGTCTGTGTGCTCTGCCATCGATAGTGACTGCGTCGACACTCTGCTGGGCTACCTCGACATGAGGCAGCACGAGGCTGTGAAGGGACATGCCTTGCTTGCCGCCTCGGCCTACCTTAAGGCTGCCGGCGAGGACGGCAACCGCAAGCTGTCCGAATTCTTCTACGATCGCGTTAAACGGGGCACGTACGACGACTTTATCGTCGCCTTCTGCGTCGCATCAACCATGTTCCCCGTCGTGCCGGACCTCGTCAAAGAGCTGTTCCTGAGCGAGGGCTTCCTGCCAACCCTCGGCCCGCTTATGAGGCGCAAATGGAAGAGCAGAAAGGTCGAGACCGCTTGTTTGGACCTGCTTAACGCCGCATGTCTCAATAGCGAATGTCGGGTAGCCGTTCAGAAATACTGCGTCGAATGGTTAGAGGAGATTGTGGACCAGGACCCGGATGATTTTGCTAAGACCATGCACACTACGGAGCCAGATGTTCACGTCACGCAGCCGGGGTCCATTTCTATGAGGAAGCACTCGGAGCATGTCCAAATCCTGGCCGCTGTGATCCTGACAAAGCTCAAGGTAACCCATCATACCCTGCGCCGCTGTTTAGAGCAAACATTGACTGACCTAGACTTGATGGCAACAAAAAGGCAACACAACAACCGCAGTCTACCACCGAGATGTCTGGCGAGAGGGTCCAGCAGGCCACCACCAGCATTGAAGACCTAAGCAGCATGCTCACCAAAGTTCTCCTCAGAGACCCCGAGAACAACCGGAATAGCTCCATCGAGGGCCTCGCATACGCCTCCCTGCAGCCCAAAGTAAAAGACGTCCTCTCCAAAGACGCCGAATTCCTCAAAGCCCTCGTCCGGACTCTACAGGAGGCGCCGCCTCGCTCCCCCCTAACCTACGGGGCGCTCAGCATTGCCGTCAACCTGACGCGGTACCAGCCGGCGCAATCCGAGGAGGGGAAACGCATCGCGCAGCTCAAGGCCTACGCCAACGCGGCTGGCAAGCTCCAGCGAGATCCGCTCAACGAGGACGAACAGGTCTCGGGTCGGTGCCTGCGTCTGTTCGACGCGGGAATCACGCCTGTGCTGGTCTCGCATAGCAAAAACGGCTCTGCCGCCTCCCTATCCCTGATCATCAACATCATCTACGCTCTGTCCGTCACCCCGAAGCTCCGCGGCCAGCTCGCGCAGCAGGGCGCCGTACGCCTGCTTATCGGCGCCTGGAACGCCCTGCCCGCCGCTGGTGCCGACTCCAGCCTCGCGCAGGCCCGCCGTGTCGCCGCGCAGGCCCTCGCCCGCATCCTCATCTCCACCAACCCCGCCCTCGTATTTGGCGGCACGCGCCCGACGCCCATGAGCGCGGCCATCCGCCCGCTAGCGTCCATCGTGCCGCCGGACCCGGACGCGCCCGCGGGCGAGGCGCGCGACCTACTCCCGACCTTTGAGGCCCTCATGGCGCTGACCAACCTGGCGTCCACCGAGGACCCGGGCACGCGCGCGGCCCTGGTTCGCGCCGTCTTCGCCGACGCCGAGGAGCAGCTGCTGTGCGCCAACGCGCGCGTCTCGCGCGCCGCCACCGAGCTCGTCTGCAACCTGGCCCAGGCGCCCGAGGGCGCGGCCTACTTCGCCGACGGCACCCCGCAGGCCGCGACGCGCGTCCACGTCATGCTGGCGCTGGCCGACGCCGAGGACGACGGCACGCGCGCCGCGGCCGGCGGCGCCCTGGCCAACCTGTCGGCCCACGAGGCCGTCGTCGACGCCGTCGTGGCCCGCGACCGCGGCGTCCGCATCCTCCTGGGCCTGTGCGCCGACGACAGCGAGGACCTGAGGCAGCGCGGCGCCTTTGCGCTGCTCAACATGGCCGCCGCGGCCGGCGCCGTCGGGTCGCGCGCCCGCGACAAGATCAAGGCCGAGGACGGCGCGCAGATACTGACCGACTGCGCCAAGAAGACGCGCAGCCCCGAGGTGCTCGAGGTCGCCGTCGCCGCGCTCAAGGCGCTGCTCGAGGCGGAGTAAAGGGAGGGGGGGTAGGGAGCAGTGCTGGCGTTCTTGTTATGGCTGGGTCATGGTTTTGTGCGTTGCGGTTTATGATGTCGCTAGAACGTTTGTGCGACGGACGAGCTCGCGATGATTTGATCCGTTTCTTTATCTCAACTCTGGGCGTTTTATGTGCTTTGATGTCACCTTCACGAATGGGAACAGAAGTCATCGCGGAAAGGGAAATAGGAACCCAAAGGACCCTCTCGAAGATGCTGGGATTTTATACCTCGGAAGCTAGCTGGCCAACGACGTTTAGCCAGTAATTATTACAATTGGCCTCCTGCTTCCCCTATCCTGACTCCTGGCACTCAAGGCTCTGCCGCCAAAGGCCCATCCTCGGCCCCATCCTTCCCAGCCCCAGCGGCGCCCTTGGCCGCGGGGGCGGCGCCAACACGGTTGAGCACCGCGACGCCCTCGACGTGGAACGTCTGGGGGAAGAAGTCAAAGCCGCGGATGCTCTCGACCTCGTACCTCGGCCCGCCCTCGGGCCTCTCCTCACCGTCGACGTGGCCGCGCGACAGGACGCCGACGTCGCGGGCCTGCGTGTGGACGTTGCAGCTGACGTACAGGACGCGGCGGGGCCCAAAGGCGAGCAGCTGGCGCAGGAAGGGCGCGTCGCAGCCCTTGCGCGGCGGGTCCAGCACCACGACGGTCGCGTCCGGGTCCATGTTCGCGGGCGCGCCCTCGGAGAAGAGGCGGGCGGCGTCGTTGGCGACGAAGCTGACCTTGTTCTGTAGGCCGTTGAGGACGGCGTTCCGGCCGGCCTTGCGGATCGCCTTCTCGTCAATGTCGATGCCGATGCTAGACTTGTCGCCGGCGCCGAAGATGGGCGACAGCGCGATGGTGAAGAGGCCCGAGCCGCTGTAGGCGTCGATGAGGTTCCGGACGGCGGGGGTGGCGCTGTCGCTGTCGCTGCCGCCGTCCGTTGGGGCCGGTGGGAGGATGTGTTCGCGGACGTATGCTGTGAACTTGGGGAGGATGGAGTTGTTGTTCTGGAAGAAGGAGTTGGCCTCATTCTCAAAGACAAAGTCGTCAACGTACTCGGTGGACGTGCCCTTGGGGTTCGAGATACACGTCTTGACGTCGACGTATCTGTCCGTCTCCGTCCTGACCGCCTCGGCAGGTAGGTCCCCGGGCACAGAGGCCACGCTGTTGCCCTCGGCGTCGACCGTCTTGGGGAAGCGCCGGGTGCTCTCGCGTAGCAGGATGGTGGCGCCGCGACTGTAGTTGCCGTACTCGACGGCCATCCGGGCGCGCTCCCTCTTCATTCCGCGGCGCACGGCGTCGGTGCCGATGGGGCAGTCCTCGATGTCGATTGTGCGCCGCCTACCTTTAAGCATGAAGCCGATGTCGGGCAAGGCCGCCAGCGGCTTTGCCTTGCGAGTCTGAAAGCCGTCAAAGTGCGGCGTCAGCTTGGTGCGGTAGCCGTACTGGAGCGGGCTCCCTATGGTGTCGCCGACGGGCGGCAGCAACGCCGGCGGCAGGCCCGAGAAGTGGGCAAAGGCGCGCTCGACGACGCGGCGCTTGTGCGCGAGCTGGTCCGTGTACGACAGCGGCTGGAAGTTGCAGCCGCCGCAGCGGCCGTAGTACTGGCACGTCACCCTCGAGTCGTCGCGCATGGGCGACGGCGACACGACCGAGACGAGGTCGGCCAGACTGTGCCGCTGGCGCGCGGGCCCGTGGCGGAACACCCTCACGCGCACCGTGTCGCCGGGGAAGGCGAAGGGCACGACGTAGACGTGGCCCGAACCCTCCTGCAGGGCCAGGCCGTCGCCTGTCGACGACTGCTCCACGACCCTGACGTCGAACTCGACGCCCGCCTCGGGCAGCGGCGGCTGGTCGTCCTTGCCGGCCAGGTCCAGCGTGGCCAGCAGGTCCTCGATCTCGGCCGCCAGGACCTCCTCGTTGCCGCCCTCCTTGACCTTTTTCTTGTCCTTTTTGACCTTTTTAGCGGTTTTGCCTGGGCCCCTGTTGCCCTCTGCCGGCCGCTTCGGGGGTCTTGAGTCTGATGGTCTGGACGAGCCCGTATCATGTACAGTGAGGCTAGCCGCTGGGGCAGCCGCGGGAGTGGCTTGTGAGGCCATCTTGAATTTTCGTGGGACTTGCCAAGGCCTCGAAGAGACGCTGCGAATAGTCAGGCTAGGCTTCCAAATCCTAGTTGATAGCCTTCTTAGTACCTTTTGCATTGGATGACAGGGTTATTCTTTACATGTCAAGATGGAAATCCGCATCTCAAAGGAATTTTCTCTCATAGAGCTCCTGCCGCTAATGTTGGTGTAGCTCCAGCGCCTGCATAAGGCCCAGAAAAATTCAATTGCCCCCACGCGGCGATGCGCCCCAACCCGCCAACCAGGTCTGTCCCTGTCATTGTGGAGGCTGTGGGGAGCTTGTGTCCAATCATAAAAACACGATTGGAATTGCCTGACGTTCTTTTTTGACGTGAACCTGCGCCAAAATGCGCTGCGGCTCGTTGCCGGCTCGACTTGTATCCGCCAAGATCAAAGTTCAACTTAGAGGAACGGACTTTGGGAACGGGAAAGATATTAATGGGATTGAAAGTGAAGTGAGCAATGAGTGCATAGAAGTACCTACCTTATCATGATTCCTGAGAGGAATATTAGAGACAACAAGACCTACTGTGTAGATTGACTCCCGCACGGCTTCACAGGCGTGCTTCAACCTTAATCCAAGCCCTAGTTTGATTTCCATCAAACAGTCACTCTTGGCCAGTTATTCCAGCAGATACCAGCGATGCCTTTCTTTGTCACCTTGCCATGGGCACCACGGAGAGGTCGCGTGAGTCCGACACAGGTCTCCATTCGAGGTCAGCAGGGCGGCCAGGATGCTATCTCGCCTGCCAGATTACCTAATTGGGTCTAATATGGGGATACACTAGCGGCTGTCGGTCAGGGGCGGCCGATCAGTCTTATCACGAGTCGTCGAGACCGACAAGCCGAGACGGCCGCAACATTTCTTGGAGTCTTTTGTTTCCTCCAGGTGCTTGTCTTTGCTAGACTATTCCACGGTTTTCTTGCTAGATTCTATAGACAAGGACCTTCGCTTAGAGCCTGCGCCTGCTTCAATTCTTGCCCGTTTCTACTTGGAGAAGCGAGCTGCCCCTTATCAGTTACATTCCAGCGTCCGGAATCGGCACAATGCGTTAGTAATGCCGCCCATTCCGGGCCAACTCACAGCAAAACAAAATTCCTAACAAATTCCATGATAGCTTCCCACAAACGGCTAGCAGAACAGCTGCTACTACCGCTACTCGCATCTCACAGCTGGCACCATGCCTCTGCATCGCCGACGTACTCCTACCAGGAGCCCGTCGCGAACGCCCAGCACTCCAAGGGCGCCGTGGCCAGCGAGAGCAGGATATGCTCGCAGATCGGCGTCGACCTGATGCGGCGTGGGGGTAACGCCGCCGACGCCATGGTGGGCACGAACCTATGCATCGGTGTCGTGAGCATGTACCACAGCGGCATCGGCGGCGGCGGCTTCATGCTGGTCCGCGGCGCCGACGGTAGCCACGAGGTCATTGACTACCGCGAGACGGCCCCGGCTGCCGCCAGTGAGGACATGTACAGGAATAACGTGGCAGGCAGCGTCTATGGCGGGCTCTCTGTCGGCATCCCCGGGGAGCTTAGGGGGCTTGAGTACCTGCACAGCAAATACGGGGCAGGTATCCCTTTTGCATGGTTTGTGGGTGGTGGTAAATACTAACTGTAGTTCCCGTCATAGTCATTGCCATGGAGAGCAGTCGTCAACCCGTCCGTCAAAGTGGCTCGGGATGGCTTCCCAGGTGGGACTTCCAAATATCGAGATTCAACGTCATAGAACCTCCTAGATGTGCTTGGCTAACTTCATGCTCAGTCACCGAGGATCTGGTCCGCTATATGGCCCAGGCCCTGAAAACTTCTCCGACCAATTTTCTGGTTGATGATCCGGCATGGGCTGAGGACTTTGCCCCGAACGGTGAGAAATGGTCGCTTGTTAGAATTGGCGCACAGCCAATACCTCGCCGGCTAAACTTGGCACTGACTCTGTGTTATTATAGGCACTTTATTGAAGCTGGGAGACACCATTACAAGAAAGAGATTTGCCAAGTAAGAATCCTCTACCTTCGTTTATTGTCCCCCACACATCCTCTCCTTTATGGCTGTCTCTTTTCACTAACGTCCCCTACTCGCACAAGGACTCTGGAGAAGATCGGACGGCACGGCGCAGACGCATTTTACAAGGGCGAGATCGGTAAGCCTCTCCCACAGCCCCTCCCCTCCCCTCCCATAACTAACACCCACCCCATCCAGCCGAATCCATCATCTCCCTCATCCGCGCCACAAACGGCACCATGACGCTCGCCGACCTGGCGTCATACAGCGTCACAACCCCGCCCGCCGTCAGCGTCGAGTACCGCGGCTACCGCGTCTGGTCGACGCCGTCGCCCACCAGCGGCGCCGTGTGCCTGTCCATCCTCAAGACGATGGAGCAGTACCCGCGCGCGGACCTGCTCGCCGACGCGAACCTCACCACGCACCGCTTCGCCGAGGCCCTCCGCTTCGGCTACGCCGCCCGCTCGCGCCTGGGCGACCCGGCCTTTGTGCCCGACGCGGCCGCGCTCGAGCGCCGCTTGCTGACCGGGTCCTTTGCCGCGTCCACCAGGCGCCGCATCCTCGACGGCGCCACCCAGCCCGTCGAGGCGTACGGGCCCGACACCGAGCCGTCAGCCCAACACCACCACTACGCCAACCCGGGCCACGGCACCTCCCACATCGTCACGGCCGACTCGACCGGGCTCGCCGTCACCAGCACCACGACCGTCAACCTCCTCTTCGGCGCCCACCTCATGACGCCCGACACGGGGATAGTGCTCAACGACGAGATGAACGACTTCAGCATCCCCGGCGTCCGCAACGAGTTCGGCTTCGAGCCCAGCCCGTCAAACTACGTCCGCGCCGGCAAGAGGCCCCTGTCCAGCATCGCGCCGCTGATAGCCGAGCACGCGTCCAACGGGTCGCTCGTCCTGGCCGTCGGCGCCGCGGGCGGGTCCCGCATCCTCAGCAGCGCCTGCCAGGTCGCCTGGCGCGTACTTGAGCCGGGGGTGCTCGCGGGGGGCCGCAGCGGGGAGGAAGGTGCCGCCGCCGCCGCCGCCGCCGCCGCCGCCGCCGACGACGACGATGACGACCTGGTCCGGGCCGTGGCGCGCCCGCGCATGCACGACCAGCTCATGCCCAACACCGTCACCTTCGAGTACCCCTTTGACAACGCCACCGTCGCCAGCATGGCCGCCAGGGGCCACAACGTCACCTGGGTCGGGCCCATCTACAGCGCCGTTCAGGGGATCCAGAGGCTGTGGGACGGCACGCTGCTCCCCGCCAGTGAGGTGAGGCAGAAGAACAGTGGGGGGTTGAGTATATAAGCGAGAGTTCGTTCTCTTGTGCTGCTCAAAGGTGCCGTTTGGATATCTGCAGTCGCATTTCCTTCCCATGGGGTTTTCGCATACTAGCATCGCCGACTTGGACAACCATGTCCCTAAACATAGACTCACTGCTGCTGTTGTCCATAGACATGGCAAACTACACACGCGTGGACAATTAAACAGTATATGCACCATGCGCCGCGCTCCTTCCGTTTATACTCTGGGAGTTTAGTGTAGAACAAATAAAGGGGGTATCGAGTAGTGAAAACGGGAATGCAGAACGGCCTTGTTGCGGATTGCATCTTTAGCACGCTCGTCAACCGAAATTGCAGGGGGGGCCTACCCAAGCACGATAGGAACCATGCCTCTTCAAGCCAAAGAAAGAGCTACTAGCTTCTCCATCTGCGCAACCCACTTCTTAGCAAATTCCTCCTCGGTGAATCTCTTGGCCGACTGGCGCGCCCGCTTCCTGATAGCCAGAGGGTCGGGGTGCGAGAGTGCCTTCTGGAAGGCATCTGCGAACTCGGTCGAGGTGGTGGCGTGGAAACCTATGCGGCGGGTTAGTCGGGAGTTCAATCACAACCAAACATGGTAGCACTTACCGGTCGGCTCTCCGTCAATAGCGGTGACGATGTCCAGCTTGGGGCCTCCGCTGTCGTGGACGACCGAGATGAGCCCGGCGGCCTGATACTCGACAACCCCGATACCAAAGTGCTCGTTCCACATGCCGTTGACGCCCACAGAAGCTTTGCGCAGCCATTGCAGAATCTCGGGCCACGTAGCGTCCAGGTGGAATTGAACCTGCTCCTTGATATGCAGCTCATTGACCAGCAGCCTTAGCTTGTAGACGCGCTTCGCGTCGTGGTCGTCGCGGACGCTACCGATGAGCACGAGCTTGGAATCCTTGGCCGTCTCCGATCCGGCCTTAAAGAACTCGGCGAACGCCTGGATGATGAGCTGATGGTTCTTCTCGGGCCGGAACTGGGCAATGTACACCAGCACTTTCCCCCTAGCCTCCTCGCTCTTGGACGAGACCTCGACGTCCTGCTCCAGCTCGCTGACCGCGACGGGCGGGTACACAACCGCGATCTGGGTCGCCTTTGTGTTCTTGCTCCGGCGGGGGCCCCACAGCTTCTGGATATGCGCCTGGGTCCAAGTCGAGTTGGTCATGACCACGTCGATGGATGCGCCCATGCGCGAGTACGCCTGGGCAAACAGCTGCCAATATATCTTCTTGGCTGTGCCCCTGGTTCCTGTCCCCTTGCCGGCGTTGACACCCAGAGAGCCCGTCTTGGAGCTAGGATCTAGGGACTCGAGCATATCGGTCGATATGGTTGGATAGTGGACGTAGGCGCCGGTCGGTACGTGCGAGAACAGCCACTTGGACAGACCAAGAGCAAAGGCGTATCCCATCGTGTCGACGAAAATGTCGGGGGCAAGCAGCGAGAAGGCATCCCAGGCCATGATGATGGATCCGAAGGACTGTCCGGCAAGGGTGAAGTGCGGCCATGTCGAGGCGAGGACCCAGTGTCTGGTCGACAAGTAAAGGAACTGAACGGCAGGGGCGTGGAGGCGGATGTTGAAACGGCTCTGTAGGAGGTATTCGGTTAGCTGGCCTCCTGGAAAGATTTACTGCTGGCGGGACAGGTACAGACCTCGACCCTCGATAGAATAGCACTCTTGGTGGCCTCGTGGTCGCCTGTGTAGACGATGCACTTTGCCTTGGGCCACCGCTTCTGTGTCGCTCTAATGGCAGCCCACAGAACTCTTTCGCCTCCGCCGCCAGCGTTGCTACACACACGAGGTCAAAGTTAGCTGCGGCAGCCTTCAGATGACACAAGCAGCTCAGGGTAGCACAAACCAGAAAGGGTGAAAGAAGCCCACGACCCCGTCCCACTCTTTCTCGCCCTTGGCTCCGTTGTCGGCGGTACCGGAGTTCTGTGGCCCGAGGGGTTGTTGCATGCTCCGGGAGACACTGTCTCTCTCGTCCGCCTCCATTATCTCGATAACCTGGTGGCGGCGGCCCTCAGTCTTGCGTCGCAGGTACCAGCCGAAGCCGGCACCGATGGCACGCCAGAGCCAGGGCAGGAGGAAGAGGGCGACCAGCGGCATGGCGGCGGCGGCGGCGGACGCGATGTTGTACTTGGAGGAGGACATGCCGCAGGGAGCCTGGGTGCTGCAGCTGGCGTCGCCGCTCACGCCAAAGCCGTCCATTGTGGGTTTTTGGCGTTTGGGGCCTGGGGAGCGGTTTCGGAGGACCGAAGCCCTGGAAAGGCGAGAGAGGACAGACAGGAGGCGGGCGGGAAAGCGAATGAATCGAGGACGTGAAGAATCCAACGGGTTCGGCTTCGGCACGCAGCCTAGACTGGGAGCCCCCTGTGTTGGTGACAGAGGGGAAGGTGTTGTTAGGGTGGCGGTGGGTTTTCTTGCTTAGAAGACGACAAATGATGCATGTCGGTTGACGTCGGCGGCCTGCAGCAGCTGTTGCCTTCCTCCACTCAAGCTTCCACGTTGCATGTGCTCGTTATTTAAGGAGCCGCCCCATCCAGCCCCACACGAGCTCCGGCATTGGCAACGGGAGTGGGTGGATCAAACGTCGATCTCAGCCCGTGAATGGCTGTTGATATTGTTCTGGACGAACTTGCAGAACCGCGAGCACGAGGAGGGCAGAAGTGACTGGTTGGGATTCCGTCAGTCCAGCCGGAATGGACTAGACCAGATTTGATGTTTTATATATCCTGCAAAATGGAATGCATTCTTTGAAATCGGCCCAGGCGTCGTCTTGTTCGCTCGACAATTCCATTCGGAATTTCCCACACTGGAATACAGTTGACCCATTGTGGGTGACGTCCCCACCCAGCCCAGCTTCTGATCGCTCGACACACCTCACCCTACATGAACCCGATCTCGTCACCTGGTCGCACTCAACCCGGCAAACCAAACTGCTTCAAGGACATGAGATTGTGTCAGCTAGCCGTTTAACAGACGGCAGGCTGTGGGCAAATGGCTGCAACACGTGCAACACCATAATCTTGATTGCCTGTGGAGACATCAAAAGTGACAAATAGGGCACAAAAAACTCTGCCTCAGCACTCGTAGCCCACCATGATGGCCATGCGGCTCTCACGCCAGCTGGGCGCCACAATCTCACAACCCCTTTTACGACCCCGGCCCTGTCCACACCTCCAGTCAGGTGCCTCCCTCTTCCTCCGCCATGGCCTCGTGCCGGCAGCAGCCACATCCGCCTCCACGGGGCGGCGGCACATACACCTCATACAAGGCGCCGTCGAGACGGCCGAGTCGCTCATCACCTCGCTACACACAATCACCGGCACGCCCTGGTACGTCACGATCCCGCTGGTCGCCATGGCCGTGAACCTGACGCGTCTGCCCTTCACGGTGCACGCGCAACGCCTGGCCCTCCGCCGTGGCGGCCTGGCGCCGCTGCTGCACGCCTGGCTGTCCACCCACGCCGCCGCCGCCGCCGGCGGAAAGCGCGCGGATGTCGACAAGAACCTCGCGAGGACCGAGAAGCGCATCATGCGCGATCACGGGCTGCAGAAGTGGAAGTACGCCAGCAGCCTGCTCGCCTTCCCCGTCTGGCTCACCGCCATCGAGGCCATCCGGAGGCTGTGCGGCGGGCCCACGGGGCTTCTGGGGCAGATGCTCTTCTCTGAGCCTGCATTGGGCCTTGAAACTGCGATCGAGGGCCTTTCGGGCGCGGCGGCTGCGGCCGGCGCCAGCTTTGACGCCTCGCTAGCCACCGGTGGGGCGCTCTGGTTTCCCGACCTGACGGTGGCGGACCCGTACCACGTGCTGCCCATGCTCTTGTCCGCCGTCATGTTTCACAACGTTAGGCCGAAGACCGCGGCGGGCCTTCGAGCTATGATTTCGCCCGATAAAGCACACCCCTCTCTCAAAGGCTGGAGGGGAGCGCTGAGGAGGAGCGTCGTCCTGCTGGCTGTGTCGATTGGCCCCATCACTATGGACATGCCGGCCGCCTTGCATCTGTACTGGCTGTGCTCGGCCAGTTTCGGTGCCATAACCACAGAGCTCGTGAACTTGGCTATTCCCCTTCCGAAACCAATCTCGAGGTGCAAGGGCAAAGATAGACTGTTGGTTATGCCGCGCCGCGCAACCTGAAGCAGGCTCGTGGGCACAAGGTCTCACGCATGTTCGGTCAGGGGTAAAGAAAAAAAAAAAAAGCTTTAGAGAAATTGAAGGTGAAAAATCAAAACGTTGAAAGAGAAATCAGAACCTGGCCGCATCGGTTGAACTAAACAAACTGGGCCCTAGGCACTACGTAAGAGCGCCTAGGTACCTGCATAATGCTAGCTGGTGTCCCCAAAAGGCCGTGAGATAACGCTACAACGGCGCATGCATGGGCGATGGTGAGGGCCGGCAACTGACATCGCCTTAGGAGCCGGGCACCTTTCTGCCCTGTTCATGGCCAACGCAAACAAAACAACATCTCAAAGGATAGTCTGGCCTTCTAGGTTGCTCTCTCATCTTCGAGTTGTTGTCTTGGGACCCACCGGCGACATCGGACAGCAGACAAACATTGAACCGACCAGTATTACTATCTGTGAACAAGAGACTAAAGATGCAGACGATAGACAAAGGAGATTGATAGATACCCTGAAAAGCCCACCCGGACCCGGCGTCTAGCGCGCCCGGGCCAAACTCCTGAACGCCAGTGATGTTGAATTTACATAGGAATGCGAACACGGTGTATGCTGCCGTTGGACGCACCCTCCCCGTTTCCCTGTATACCGCCTGTGACAAAGTGTCACGCACAGGCCCGCCGCTCTACCCCCTGACACACCTCCCGCTTAGCCTAGGAAGATGGCCAGCAGAACAATGGTGAAGATGACGGCCAGGATGAGCAGCAGACAGCAGGCCTTGCTGCGGGCGTTCTTCTGGTATCTAGCGGCGCTGCGGAGCTCATAGTCGGCGCCGCGGGTATCGGTGCGGACGTTCTCGACGTTGTCGACGATGCTCTCGATCTGCTCGCCTTGCTCCGACACGATCTGGGCGACCTGGGTGAAGAGTACGTTGAGGTCGTTGACGCCCTGCTCGATGTTGCGGATCTCCTCCTCGCGCTCGATGATGAGCGCCTCCTGGAAATCAACCTCATCCTGCGGCGCCAGCCGCGACAGCTCCTGCTGCTGGAGCTGCTCCAGGTGCGCCCCCTCGCCGCCGCCGCCGCCGCCGCCCAATGGGTGGGTGCCGCTGAGGGCGCCGTCCTCGTCGTTCACGGCGCGCGCGGCGCTGACCGAGGCGCGCTGTTTGTCGAGCGCTTGGCGCTGCAGGTTTTGAAATTCGGAGAGGGAGGTCTGGACTTCGCGCGAGAGCTTCTGCTGGGTGTATTTTTGATTGGGCTGCGCGGGGGCGGCGGGTCGGGTTAGTTTCTTGTCAGTGCAGGAGGGAGAATGTGATGTGCGGCAGCTCCTGCGCAAACAAAACGCACCGTGACGTCTTCCCAAGACTGTATCTTCTTGACGCCCTCGCCCAATTCCTTGAACATTTTCCTCGACTCCTCCAGCAGGTCGTGCACCCTTTCCCGGACCCGCGGCGTGTCCCGCCTCGTGCACAGGTGGCTGATCTCGGTGCCCAGCCGCGAGATGTTGCCGTTGACCTTGAACAGCTTGTTCATGAGGTCCTGCGACAGCTTCTGGAACTCCGGGTCGTCCACATATCCCCGGTTCCCCCGTCGCTGCTGCGACTCGAGTGATGATAGCTGGTCGAACGACATGGTTGCCGGCCCGGTCGGGGAGCACGCGCGGATTGAGATGGCTGGGGCGGAGGTGTCACGAGGTTCGCCGGCGAAACGCAAGATAGCTTCAAATCAGTAAAACACAAAAAGAAAGTGCCAAAGCAGATGGGGGTTGTCGTCGTCGACAAAATACTGGCAAGCAGGCTACAGCGTTAGTTCCTGGTCGGAGTAGGTTGCCTGCCTCGACGCTGTGGCTGGGGGATTGCGTCAACCAACAGGAACGCGGGGGCCATTCGCTGTTGGGCTGACAAGGGCACGTGCGGTGGGTCTCACGTGGCTGGGGCCTTGTGGCGGCGCGCCTTTGACGTTTCCGTGCGACCAATGCGCCAAGAGCCTTTTTTATTTACAAAAAATCCCCATTGAGAGCGAGAGCTTGTACAGGCGACCCAGCTCCAGCTGCTGCCTCCATCCCACCACCACCGCCGTTCGCCGTGCTATGCGCCCCGAAGATGGCGCCCGCTACGGTCAGAAGGGCTCCTTATAAGGATTTCCTTCAGCCTGCACTGCACAGGCGCTTTTCCACGGTCGCCACCATCATCCTTGCCATCGCGTACGCCCAGAGCGTCTTGCTGTCCGACTGGAGCTCATGTGAGTTGCCTATGCGCCGCCCGCGATACCAACACCTGGCCTCCCACGCTGGGCTGACAGCACGCTGATAATCATATTCTTCTACAGGGCTCTGGTCATGGTTCCCCCTCGGCCCGGCTGGCTTCCGAGCTGTCTTCCTCTTCTTCTGCGGCCTCTTCATCCTCGTCCTGCGCATCGGCCAGTACCACGTCGGCCTGAGGACGTCCAACTCGGGCTTCCAGACCTTCGTCGCCAACGCCCTCTCGTCGCGGACTATCTGGGCCATTCTCGCTCATGTCTCCTCGGCCTGGCTCTTTAGCCAGGTGTACATGTGGTCAGCATCCTCGAGCGCGAACCTCGGCTGGATCACCTACTTCAACGGCGACCGCGCGCGCCTCAACGAGAAGACCATCTTCTTCTTCGTCCACTTCCTCGTCTTCGGCATGGCCCGGGGCATTGTCCACGTCGCCCTCGATCGCGACCACATCAGCCTCGGGACAGTCAAGCCCCCGAGTGCAGCTGGGAAGGAGTGGCTGGCGCTCTGGACTTCGTTGCCGGCGATAATGGTCTCTTCGTTTCCCATCGCACTATTTGCGGTTATGCTCACTGCAGTGCTCTACTTCACCGCGATCAGGCCTTTTGCCTGGAGTATCGCCCTCATGACTTTCAGGCCTTTCTACAGCCTGCCAAAGTACAACATTCTTCCAGTGTCTTGGCCTCTCACCGCCAGCCTCGTCCTCCGATGCACGCTTTTGACCGCCATTCTTAATATGATGTGGGGTGTCGGGAACGTCGCGTTTTCCATTTTCCTCGTCAAGCCTCCATTCAAGAATGGGAAACCCCTGACCTCGGATGCCAAGGATCCCAATGGAAGTCTCTTGAACGGGCTCAAGAGTAAGAAACTCCCTATCAAGGTAAGCAGTATTGGTACCCCCCATCCTTTGTCAGTTGATTGGGCGCTGGTCTGACTTTGCTTTTGCAGTGCTTCGCCATGTGGGAACTTGCCGTTATCGCTTGCGACTTCGAAGACCGACGAAAAGTGATTTACGAGGATTTCGAGCGCAAGGATGGGTCCATGTGGTCCCAGGCCTGTGCTGCCTGCGTCGAGGTCATCAAGGAGCTAGAATCGAGAATGGACAACTACGGCAAGACTCCCGTGCCGATCCAGCCGCCAGCCCAGTCAGAGGCAGCAGAGACGGCACGGCAACTGTCCAGGAAATCGCTGAAGAGCCCGCCTTTTGCGGAAGCGACAGCTTCAAGGATGGGAGTCGTGGGCGAACTCAAAACCACCGTCACCGAGTACGTCGACAAGGTCGCGAGGGATCCGAACCAACCATCACGCCTGAGCCCGATAGGGAAGGCGGCCGGAGAGGCGAGGCTCAGGCTTCGCGAGATGAAGAAGCAGTTGGCCGAGGAGGATAGCAGCAGCGCAAGCAACCCGGTGCAGACCAGGGCCCGGGCGCTGCTTGCGTCGCCGTTTGGGTGGCCGTTCCGGCAGGAGTATGGGCGTCGACTCACGGCAGCGGTTCTCGGTGGTCCTTACGGGGAGCCCAGCCTCTATATAAACGCAGCGACGGCGCTGAGCCAGCTGGCGGTGCACAGTCTGCAGGAGGACAAGTACGGCAATGTGCAGCGCGACGTGGCGCTTATTGTGCGGACACTCACGGCGGTGACGTCGAAGCTGGACACATTCAAGAAGTCGTTTCCTCTGCACTGGACCGACGTGCAAAAGGACCGCAGCAGCCCCGAGGTCGACGCGGTGCTGGAGGCGCTGAGGGACGGCCTCTCGGACGTGGTGCTCAAGTTTGAGCGCTACAGCCGCGACCTGAGGCTCACCATGGCGGACATGCGGCTGGCGCGCGAGGCGATCGGGGTGCAGGCGGCGGCGGAGGCTCCGGCGATGAACAGGAGGGCATCGCCTCAGATGCAGCAGGTCAGGTAGAGAGGGTATTCGGCGTTCTGCTATGGGTACGGATATCAGGCATAATGTAGAGAGCGAATAGAAGCGAGACAGCCTGTAGTTTTCATGTCACGAGTCTCTGCTGGATGCGTCATTGCTGGTCGTCCCGTTATATGTCTTGGATGTCGGTCCCTCATGGTGTCCATACTAGTGCATGATCACAAAAGGCAAAAGGAAGGGACGGGATTAGGACAGGGCATGGATGGGATGAGGAGGAATACTGTACAAAGATGCTGGCGCAATCAGGGGCGTACGTATTCACGACCACGAAAGCCGCCGTGATAGCATCAAGTAATGGACACTCGCACGTGTCGACCGTTGGCAACGTCCATGGCTGCGGGCCACTCCCTGTGCAGTGCATGCATGCAGCATGTGGAACCGAGCTAAGCTTGTGCAGATGCTGAAATGAAAGCAAGGGATGTGCTGGATCCCAGCTGCACAGGAAATGGCGTTGGCCTGTGCCTCCATGCCCCATCCCTGCAGCTTGGCGGAGCGCGCCGCCTTGGTGGAGGTCGCTAACGGAAGCCTGCTGACGCAGGTCGCCCCCTTCCATTTTAGCTTCACCCAACCCGTCCGAGGCCTTCCCAACCTTGTGCCTGCCACCAACCTCCGTCCGTAGCTCTCCCGAGGCCTGCCAGACGCCGCCTTTCCTTGCGACTGGTCAACTCTGATCAACAAACAGAGCTACGGATGGACAATGCTGCCATTACCTGTCGCCGATCCTCTCCATTGCGTATACGCGGCCTCGCGGTCGCGCCCACTAATAAACAGAGCAGCGAGTAATTGGGCCACAATAATAGCAATCCCCAGCAACAGCATCACCAGCAGCATCAGCATCACCAGCCTCGCACCCGCCGCCGCTTTTGTCGAGCCGGCTGGCGGGAGGCCATAACACTAGGGAGCCGCCACACAGCCAGAGCACCGCCATGTCGGCAGCAACCCTCTTCCGCATCGTCTACACGAGCTTCTACTTCCTGCTCTACATCATCCTCGTCGTCCTCCTGCTCGTCTCGCCCGCCGACATCATCTACCAGTCGCTCGTGGGCGCCGAGCCGCAGACCTTCTTCGTCATCGTCATCGCCGCCGCCTACTTCACCACCACCTGCATCGTCGTCTTTGTCTATTCGGGCCGCCTGTACATTAATCGTTCCGTGCTGGCATCCATCCCCAAGGCATGGATCCCCGTCGATAAGGGCGACGTGCCCACGGCCGTCCGCAAGATCATCAACGCCAGCCTGAGCCGCAGCGCCGCCATCGCTTACGACGCCCGCCCGCGCGCGCCGCCCGTGCCCCAGCCGGGCGTGTTCGATGACAGGCAGAGCTACCGGCCGCACACGGCACGACGGTCATCGGGACTGTGGTCACCGGCACCCCAGCAACAGGAGGAACAGCAGCCACATGGGACAGAAGGGGCAGAGCAGAAGAGAAGCAAGGAGGGCAAGCTCAAGTTGAAGTTCTTTAACCTCAAGGAACCACCAACTGCCGAGGACGAGCTAGGCATCAACCTGCCACCACACAAACCCGTATGGGGTGAGGTCGAGCACCACGGATGGGGCTCGCCCCTTTCCCCCGACTTTCCCAGCCTCGAGTACGCCACCGTCGTGTCGGAGCTCCCGCACCTGATCGAGGCCAAGGCCCTGACCCTCGCGCCGCCCGACCCCATGTCGACCATGCCGCCGGACTTGGACGGCGCGCCGGCCGCGCCCACCATGTTCCAACCCGACCCGGACGCTGTGGCGCTGCTCCAGCGCGGCAGCCTTCCCCTCCGCGACTACCTCTCAGGCCTCGCCGAGCTCGGCGTCCTCTCCATCCCGTCACAGGTCGCGGGCGAGTTTCTCGCGGCGTACGAGCAGGCGCGCTTCTCGACGCGGCCCCTGTCAGCCCGGGCCTTCCGTGAGCTTATGCGGCTCTTTGCCGATCTGCTACGGTCTATGAAGCCCCTCGATCCAGCCATGCTCTTTACCGACGACGACGACCGGAGCAGCTCGTACAGCGTCCGCGGAGGCGGGCGCGGCGACGTCGACGTGGATCTCGACGACGAGGCGCCCGCGGCCACCGCCACCCCCAGCACGATGGGGGGCGCCAACGGCAGGGCGGTCAATGGCGGCGTGTCGGCGGTTAAGCGTGGCGGCGGGTCGCGTGCTTCCAGCCCTGGCGCGAGGTCTACAAGGACGGCCAGCTCCGCAGGGGGTTACACGACATCCTCATCCTCGTCGGGCCGCTCGCAGATAAGACATCATCACCGCCACCACCACAGAAGACACCAGGCCCCCGGGGCTGTGGGGCGCGCGTCGTCGTCACACACGTGGTCGCAATACCGCACGGCACCCAACACGCCGCGCAGGGAGCGCACGCTCGCGGAGGCGGTCGCGGCGGCTGCGGTTGCGGCGCGCGACGCCGAGGGCCGCGGCGTCCAGGTCGGCGACGAGACGTCGGTGGTTTCGACGCTCGAGTCGCGTCTCCCGCAGCCCTCTGGCAGCGACAGCAGCTTCGCGCAGACCAGGCACCCATACGCCGTCAGCGGGGAGTCGAGCGGCAGCCTGATATCGCTCGCGTCCAGCGGGTCCGTCGTGAGGTTCCATGACAGATGATATTAGGACGAGGCGGCGATGTGAAAGTTCAACACGCAAACAGGGCTGTGTTTTTTTTATTGTTTGTTCTGTCTAGCATGGGCATGGGACTGGGATAGATGGCTACCGCAAAGTTCTTTCTCTAATAGACTTGATTGCAATTGGCAAAATTGTTTCCCTTGTGAAAGTGATGGGCTGCAAACGGAACAGATCAGGATGTCAAACAGTAACGCAAGCCTACATGTCGGCGACGCCCACTGCTGAGACAACTGCCTAGACAGCTCAATGCCACGCTCACTGGCCTGTCGATTTTAGGGACCGTCGTTATGGTATCGCCAATTCGATCATTTCATAGTTCTGTTTGAAAGTGCCTAGCATGTATCACCCACCTTAACGAACACGCCCGAACCACGCGCTATATATCACCTCTACACCCTTCTTTCTGCGAGGTTCTTGTCCTCTAGCACCAGCCAGGTGCCTGACTACCCCGTGTTCATGCTGACTACTCCCTCACTCCTACGTCGTGAGCTGTGCTGATTCGCGTCGCCAAGCCGGTCATCGACCCGAAAGGCAAGGCATAGTACCTCTGGGGGCTGCAGGCGGATCGTACAGAGCTTACGACTGGAGCACCCGGCTGCTTGAAGTGAGGCTTGGGTAGGCCCGAGACACTTCTGCTGCGCCACTGCCCGAATCTATCTAGAAGCACCGCGTCCTGCGGGCTATATTGAAATATTGAATGCGACTTGACCGTCAGCCTGTCAGGCTGTCTCTCAACTATGCCATCCTCTCTCAATCATGCTAGTAAGAGCCGGTTGGAAGTAGATAACCAGGTAGGATGGACACGTAGATCCTTGACACATCGGCTTTCCCTGTTGTCGATCTCTTCCCATCCCTGACCTCTCTGATTGTTATAATTCGTCGTTTCCAAAACCCACATGGCAAGCCTGGCCACATAGGGAGTGTCTGCTCATGTTGCTTTCGGGGTCCATATACACTGATGTGTGGAGGAACTACAATCGTATGCCTCTATCCACGTCATATCTCCCTGCCATCTTCGAGGCCGGGATGTACTAACTTTCGTTTGCTGCGGCAAAAAAAGACGGTGATGGGTCGACGCTGATTCTGATAGTCACTCCCGAAGTTGGCGCCTTCCTCACGGCTTTGATCGCCCTGTTTGTGAGCCTCTCTCTTGGCCACCTGTGGTCCATACTCGCCTTCATCATGCATCAGGCTTGTTCGAGGCCGGTACCGCGCTCCGGCCTGTACCACCAGCAGCGGCAGGTCCTACTCCGGAACGCGACGACGGCAGGGTCGGTGGCGTGGATGTCGATCAAGCTGGCGTGGGTGTGGCGGGGCAAGTCCCCCGGGGTCTTGGGCGGGTCCGCGGCCATGGTGTCGGTGGCCCTCGGCTTCGTGGCCCTCCTCGCGGCCTCGTCTCTGCTCTCGTCGCAGATCCAGCTCGTCGGCGGCGACGTGCTCTTCTCCGGGCGGGAGTGCGGCTGGTGCAACTCCTCGGCCGTCCTGCAGGCCTCGGCCGCGCACGCGGATTTCCAAAGTTGGCTTTTTGATCGCGCCGAACAGTTCAGCAATAACGAGTGTTACAACCCCGAGGCCGTGGATGGGCTGGAGCCGAGCGCCTGCGCCGATTTCCCCACCCCGAGGATACCCGTCCGCACCTCGTTTGTTCCCTGTCCGTTCAGTCGGACCATTTGCGCCCAGCAGGAGGCGATGCAGCTGGACACTGAGCTCATCGACTCGGACAGACACCTGAGAATAAACAGTCCGCCCCAGGATAGGGCGTTTTTCCGCAAGGTCGCAACCTGTGTGCCCATAGAAACCGAGAGATACTCGAGCAACTAGAACGCAATGCCGCCTGGCGGTCCGGATCCGCTCGTGAAGTCTCCGCCTTTCGAAAGCTTCTACAAAGCCTTCTTTCTCGGGAGTGCCGGCTATAGCTACACATGGGTGGCAGGAAACCGGACGCAATATATTCCTCTAGACCTCAGCTCGGTGGACATCCCCTACTATCTACAGTGAGCTGTAGCCCTGAACCCCTACCCAGCCTACAACCCTATGGGGAAAACTAACATCCCTCTGCGGTCGAAAAAGAGTCATCAGATCCTTGTCCGAGACACGGTACGGCCCGGGGGAGGGGGACCCCCGAAATGGAAGCCGATCAATGAGCTGACGGTCCATGGCGCGGACGTCACACTTCTCATCCTGTGAAACGACGCAAGGTACAAGAACCCAGTGCAGGACCCCTGGTTCCGCGCCACCAAGTCGATGGATCAGACCGGCGCAGGCCGCCCAGAGGAGAAATGCTACACGTCCGGCCAGAACCTAGACATATCCGACCAGAGATACTACGAGAGATTCTACTACATGTCGGACCAGACATCGGCCACCATTGCCTGCACCGAGCAGTACCAGGTCTGCAACACGACAGCCTGCTCCCGCCTCCGCGGCCTCTCCACCTCCCCGTTCGACTACCCGAGCTGGGGCGTGGAGCTGAACGACCGGCAGGTCGCTGCCCTGGCCCTCCTGCACGACGTCGGGTACGGCAGCCTGGGCGACCTCGTCACCAAGAAGCCGCGGCTGCTGCGCGCGTACCGCCACCTCTCGCAGGGCGACACGTACTCGCGCATGGGCGTGCCCAGCTACCCGTCCAATGGCCTCCCGCCCGCCCACTGGCGGCTCGAGGTGTCCAACATGCTCCACAGCCCCTCGCCCGCCCTACAGCTGCTGGCCGCCGCGCTCGCCGCCCCGCCCAACATCCCCATGTCCTGGCGCGACGGCGGCAGGAACCGCACGGGGAGCCTGCGCGACTAACACGACGCCGCTCAGGGACGAGCTCCGCCGGAACAGCAGCAACAACAAAAACAACACCTCCGGGCTAGCAGGGGGGCGGCGGCGCCTCCTGGCGCCGCGCGGGGAGCTCCGACATAATGCTCCCTGGTCCGGACGCGGAACGAGCGGCACACAAACTTCGCCCTTTGTGCCTCTGATCGTCATCTTGTGTGTGTCGGCACCGCAATCATGCTTGTCAACCTGCTCTGCATACCCAGCGCCGTCTTCTGGCTGGAACGAAAGCTCAAAAGTCACGCAGCTGTACTACCATCAGGAGTGGGCCGAGGGGCACCTTGCTCATGCTCCAGCGAGACAAGTTGGAGGCAGAGGGCATTGCTGAGTGGGAAACGAAGGAGGGCAGCGAGATCCCTTGGCTGCCCGTGCAGCCAAACCCTCTGGTGGGCAGTCTAGCCGGCAATGGAGGGAGCGAGAATCGTTCGTCCGTCGGGGGACGAAGATTCCTCCTCGCCGATGTCCATAACGGACAATGCTCAGGTGCTTGATGCCCTTGGAGAGGCAAGCCCCGCACCTGAACATGGTGTAGATAGATTTCCGTCAATACATGGACGAACTCCTCTAAACCTCAAATTCATACTAATACCAAGCAGATACAGACTTCTTTTGGGTGCAGTGGGTGCAATGGGTGTAAATTTAATTGTCACCCGCTTGGTGAGGCTGTCGACTTCCTCAGCTCAAGCGGCACGGTGAGCAGATAAAGACCCAACAGATCCGCCCCGGATTTCCAATCATGCGACCCATCATCATCATCGTGGTGAACCCATATCCTCAGTGAGCTTGTATAGCTTTCACGAAAAGAGCTGAACGGTATAAAGATCCAATTGACTTTCTCCTAAAACAGACTAGATATCGTTACCACTGATGAACCCGGTCCATCCCAAAACCCCACGTGAGTGGTTGAAAATGCAATGCAGAAAAACAAGACGCAGAGGAACAAGAAAAGCAGAAAAGCAAGACAGACGAAGCCAAGAACGGATGCAAATATCAAAACAAGAAAAAAGAAGTACAGGGGCCCCTCAAATGGGCGCGGCAGTAGTCAGTCGAGCCGCTTATAGCGACATGAGACCGGCGACGGCGACGGCGAGGAGGGCGACCGAGACGCCCATGGACTGAGCCGAGGCGGTGGCGGCGCTCTTCTTCTCGTTGGCGTTGGGGGCGGTGGCCTTCTTCTGGGTGGCGATGGTGTTGCAGGCGGAGGCCAGGGTCTGGTTGCCCTTCATCTCGTTGAGCTTCTGCTGGTCGCGGGCGGCGCGGGCCTTGAAGAGGTTGATGCGGGTGGCGTCCTTCTTGAAGCGGTTGTCGAGGGCGCCCTGGTCGTTGACCATCTTCTGGTCGCGCTCGACCTTCTTGCTCAGGCGGTTCATGCGGCCGCATTGCCTCTTGGTCTGGACGCCGGCGCAGAACTGGGTGAGGGTCGAGTTGGACTGGAGCTTGTTGAGCTTGTCCTTGTTGTCGTTGACCTTCTTCTTGAGCGCCTCGGCCCGGGTCTTGTCGTTCTTGGTGACGCGGTCGAGCCTGGTCTGGTTGTTGACCACCTTCTCCAAGCGCTGCATGCCCATCATGCGGTAGCAGTCAAAGGTCGACTTGAGCTCCACCTTCTTCTGGGCGCAGGCGTTGACCAGGTTGGTGTCCTTCTTGAGTTCGGCAAGCGTGTTCTTGTTGTCGTTGACCTTCTTCTTGAAGTCGGCGACCCGGGTGCCGTTGTTCTTGAAGCGCTGGTTCAGCCTGTTGTCGTCGCCAGCGAGCTTCTCGAGGCGCTCGAGGCGGGCCATCTGCCGGCACTTGGCAGAGTTGGGGTCCTTGGCGGCAAGGGCGGTGCCAGCGAGGGCGAGGACCATGAGGTTGAAGAACTGCATTTTGACGGTGGGGTTTTTGTTTTTGGGACGAATAAGATGAAAGGAATAGGAGCAAAAGTGGTAGACGGAGAAAAGCCTGGAAAAAAAAGGAGAAAGAAAAAAGGACAAAAAGAAAAAAGACAAAAGGAAAATAGACAAAAAGGAGAAGACAGTAGGAAAGAAGCTGAATGCTGAACCTGAATATGAGGATGAGGAGCAAAGGTTCAACAGTGAGAAGGCAAGAGACGGACCGGCCGTTTTATAGAAGAGAAGTCCGCCGGGGAGAGAGAGAGGTGAGGATATCGCGCGGTGTGTGGCTGTGTCGGTAACCGGAGCATGAATCGCAGGCTCTAAACTTAGTCGTGGCAAGGAGGATCCCGGGGGATAATTTTATATATGAAGCGACGCTAAAGAGGCAGATCGCGGGTTGGCGAGTCTGGGCGCTGCAGCCTCTGCCCGCCCTGCCGCAACCCGAACCCGCCGCTGTGGGCAAGGAGCCCGCGGGTCCCCTGGCCGCGTATTGCCCCGGACGGCCTAGCGCCGAAACTTCTCTTGTCCCCCCGTTTGTGCAGGGCTGGGGCAGGGGGGCGATATTGTGACCGGGGGAGGGGGAAAAACCCCCCCACAGTCATGGGCCATGAGGGCCCCATCGCCAAGGCGACAGAGCATTAACGCACTTGACACATGTGCAGCGGGCCAGTTCCTCCCCCCCACGAAAAGTCCCGGGCTTCAAGCTTCCGGCTGTTGAGGGCGGCGGCGGCTTGTTCCCGACTTAGCACGATCCCAGAAATAAGCGTCTCAACTTGGAGATGAGTGGCCAGGAACAGGTAAGATCAGCAGGGGTGAAGGTCTATCCGTCACGAGCGGGCAAAGAAAAGACGACGCCGACCCGACATTCTCAAGACGGCGGCTGGCGAAATCAAGGGGCTCTCGCAGCCGCAACAGCGCGCGCGGGAGTCATGTGCGATGGATACCGTGCATGGAGCACACTCGTCTATATCGCCGCGAACGGGCGTGTTGTCAGTTAGGGGCGCAACGGGGGGGGACGATGAGACGCGAGCTGGCTAGCTAATAGAAGAAGGCCCTAGGCTACCTAGCCAACTAGTTGCGACCGTTTGCCCTTGGCGACGCGACGCCAGGAGTCGTGTTTCACAAGCCAAAAAAAGTGAAGTGGAGCGAGAGAGAGTGAGGCTCTTACAAGGGTGCTCCCACGCTTCCCAGTCGGGACAAACCCTGCAGGGGCCTGGATGCAACGCGCACGGATCAAGTAACACAGCTGATTTTCGGTTCCTATCTTATCAGCCCAACGGCCAAGCGTGCGTGACAAGGGATGACAGAAGTGTCGATGGTCTGACACTTTGACAGCCGAAAGCTTCACTCAAATCCAGACGACGTTGGTCGATTGACATGCAATGCTTGTGCTGTTTCAGCTGCCGCCGTTGGCCTTTGTAGGCCTCCGTAGCTAGCTGATGGTAAAAAACGCCATCACCCGCGGACTCCATCTCCACTTTATAAACGAGAAACATCACCACGTTTCTTCCCAAGCATCTCCTGCAGATTTCGGCCCCTGCTGTTGGGTTAGGATTCAATGAGACTGGAACCACTTGCGGGGTCCTGTCAGTCTGTCAAAACACGCGCCAGCGGTGTGAGTGGAATTCTTGCACCACCAGCACCATGGATTCGCAACGGCTTGCACTCCGGCTGTGATCGGAGGTGTGGACCGGGCCGCGTGGCGGTAAGAGTTTAAACTCAGTCGCCGTTCATCGCCAAGGAGGTGTCGGGTCCGATTGCATGTTCAGACTTGTTTCCACCTGTCAGACAAGGGGCCGCAGGCCGTATGGAGTTGGCCTACGTGTTCCAGGCCGGCATCACCACGAAACTCGGCCTTGGAATCCACTCGTGAGGGAAGGCGTGCTCCTGAGAGCTTCCATCAGATTTGGCGCCCAAGGTAGGGCGAGCAAAGGAGGATTATGTTGTCGAAACGTTAAACAAAGTACATTGGAAGGAAAATGACACAAACTCGGTCACTGAAGAGAAACGTCGGGACACAAACCCAAGGTGCCTATTGCTGTGTTTAATTTCACAGTAGTCATACTTGTCCGCTCCCAATAAACTACGTGCAGACAGCATATCATGACGGGTATTCGTTGTTAAGATTCGTCGATGACAGCGGAAACAAATCCCCAATCATTTGTGGGGAGGTGGCCGGAGATCTTTGCTTACGACGACAATAGCGAACCCCTGTATCAAAGATCGGATCGTCAACGCCTTGTCGATCGAGCCCTCCTTTGTTTTCCTCCTGTTTGCTCCATCGCGAAGTGACACATCGCCATTACTCTCTACCTGTGTAGCAGGAACTGGCGGAAGGAAGGTCGTGACGATCGCCCGCGGAGCCCACAGGATGGCACCTGAAACATGGACCATAGGGAGCCATCGGTCGTTTCGATCCTCGAGATATGCCGCCCCCTGAACAGCGGAATGCCAGCCATGGGAGGGAAAACGAAGCCTGCAACGGCCCAGAGCTCCGCGGCCCGCCGAGACGGGTGATTACCCAGATCTCCAAAACATTACCCCCGGCACCATGCCACGCGTCCGGCTCCAGCCGGTCTGTTGCCCCTCACCGGGGAAGGTGAAGAAAAGGGTGAAAGCCATGCCCAGGATCCCGGCCAGGTTACATCCATCACCCGCGGGTACATGGGGCCGCAAGATGCCAGAGAAACGAACGCGTGGCCAGATAGACCTGTAACGTCAATGCTAGAATCTTGATCTGATATACCAACGGTCAGTCTCGGGAGTTTGGATGACAGCGCATGTAGCATCCCGTCTCTTTGCTATGCGAGGCGATCGGCACGGGACGGCCCAGATCTGTTGGATTCGATACGGTTGCCACGCGTCCCGTCAGATTACCAAGGTGATCGGATGTATCCGCGGGTTGGCATCATGTGATGCTAGACGTGTAAGCGCAAATTTCATGTTTCTAGGGCGTCGAGCATTTACAGATCACACCGGCTCTTCTGGAAAAGCCGGGATAAAACTTTTCCCGATGTTGCTCGGGCTGAGAGATATCCACCGACCGAAAGAGACCGAGAGAAGAATGCATCGGATTCGTCCAGCTACATACCGAGCCGAAAAATAAGACAGCGTTGTCAAAAACCGAATGTCGGGCAGATATTACTATAAGAAAACAATGAAAGACCGAGGGGTATACAAAAACTAAAAAATCACAAACTCGACCGCGGCTGCACCGGAGTAGCATGAAACAGCCGCGCTGTGTCGTCGCTATCCAGCATCTCGTCCCGCCGCATCGCCTCATCCTCATCCCGGTGCGCCGTTCTCGCGAAGCTCGCGCCGACCGGGCTGCTGCTGCTGCTGTTGGGCGACGCAGCCGGCGGCGGCACCGCCGGGGCGTCTCCACCTCCACCTCCACTATTGCGGAGCTCCCACGACCCCGTGCGCTCGTGTCGCGCCCCGCCTTGAAACGCGACGTCGGGATCCTCCTGCCGCTTCTCCGCGCCCCGGAACCCTCCTCCTCCTCCTCCTCCTCCCACCACACCCGCGGCAAAGACCCCTCCTGCTCCTCCCAAGCCGCCGCCGCCGCGCTCGCCGTCCTTGCCGTCGCCCGCCTGCCGCGGCGCGAACCTCAGCCCGCCAAACAGCACCGCCGCGGTCAGGGCCACCGCCACAAAGGTCAGCGTCGCGATGACGCCGATGACGCCCGCCGCCTCGGCCGAGAGACCACCACCACCGCCTGCTTTCCCGTCCCTGTCGCCGCCGATGATGGGGTTCCCGTCGGCGTCACGCAGGGGGCAGAACAGCTCGCCCGAGCCGCAGAGGCGGCACCACTCGGGCGCCGACGCGACGGCGACGCCGTCCATAGCCCGTAGGAAGTCGCGGTAGGCCATGTGGCGCTGCGAGGCGCCGTTGCCAAAGAGCGGGTGCTCAGCCAGGGGCGCGTCGTCGCCCGTGCCGTTGCGGTACAGGAAGCGGACTCGGATGTCCGACTCGGCGGCCGGCGCCATCGTCTTCTCGTCGAGGTCCGCACCGCCGCCGTCCGCGTCCTCCGAGACGACGGTAAAGGCCTCAAACAGCATGACGGCGCCGTGGCCCGGCAGCCGCCTAAAGGTGGACGCCGAGGAGCCGCCGTAGAGCAGGCCCGAGAGCACGGAAAAGGCGACCATTGGCTCCTGCGTGCCGAAGACGAGGCTCAGCTTGGGCTGCGCCGGGTCGCGCAGCTGGCGCGGCGGCACCGCGGCGCGCATCTGCCGCGCGACCTTGCCGGCGAGCGTGCGCCCGGCCACGGCGCGGACGCGGCTGGCGTCGTTGTCGCTACCCGCGGCCGCCCCCTGGGACTGCAGGTCGCCGTTGCGGCTCTGCACCAGCTTGGCGGCCAGGGCCTCCAGGTCGCGCATCTCACCCGACGTGAGGGACGACGGCAGCGTCCGGTTCCCGTGCGTGTAGTTGTATAGGGCCAGGTCGTAGATGCGGTCGGCCGTGAAGAAGTTGACCGTGTTGGGCGTGTAGGGTGCCAGGCTACCCAGCTTCTCCCACACGCGCCTAAACAGGTCCGTGTTGTTCCAGTCCAGCTCCTTGAGCTGCTGTTCCGCCTGCAGCTGCGTCGCCGAGTAGACCCAGCTGGGGCATGAGGGGTTGCCTTGGATCCTGAGCAGTTGGAACCGGAAAGGATCAGCAAGCTGGGCGCTCAGTTGGGAAGAAGAGAAAAAAAAAAAGCCTGAACAAGAGCGCCTGCAGACTTACCAGATATACTCCTGGTCCGAAGACGACAGCGTCTGAATATGCGGGTACTGGTACCCGTCCAGCGGGAAGTTGACCAGCGACCCGTCATAAAGCGTCGCGCTCTCCATGCCGCCCGCGCCCCTGGACACGGACTGGTTGAGGGGCGGGTAGAGGCCCTGCAGGAATGCCATGGCGCTGGGCCCCATGTGCGGGTCGCTCGACGTCTGGACGCTCAGCTGCGCGTTGTCGATGGCGTTGCGCTCGAGGTTCAGGATGCGCGCCGAGCCGGCCGCCGCCGCGAGCCGGGGGGACACGGTGCTGTTGCGCGCGAGGTAGCGCGCGCGCAGCAGCTCGCCCTGCGCCCGCATCTGCTCGGCGCCCACAGGCGTCAGCGCCGGGCTGCTGGCCAGCTGCAGCGGCTGCCGCTCGCCGTGGTAGACGAAGGCGACGGAGCCCCAGACGCGCTCGCTCGAGGTCTGCGCCGACACCACGTCGGCGGTCAGGAGGGCGGCGGCGATGCTGATCGCCCGCGCCATGCTGCCTGCCATGGCTGATGAGCCAAAGAGGAGAAGAGGGGAACAGGCAGGTCGTAGACTAGTCAAATTATTCCGCGATAAAAAGGCAAGTCTTGCCAGCTAATTCACATTGGCAGCTTGAGGGAAACATAAGATCCCGTCTCCACATGCACAGGTAGTTCTGCGAGCAAGAAAGAGACAGGCGTGGGAGAGCTGCTCGAGATAAGAGAGAAGAGCTCCTCGAGCTGCCATGATGCGGGGGATGGTGCCCCTTTGCCCTGGCGGCTACCTGCAAGCTAGTAAGTAGCCTGTCCATCCTTTGTACCATGGCTCCAAGCTGTGGCCAGCGAGATACCTGCCCGACCTCACCTACAGCTCTGGTCTCGGCAGATGGGCAGCCTTCCTTTGTCGTTTGCCAATTTATGACGCAGCAAGAAGTTGCCCGAAGCGATGCAGTTGGCTGGCGCGACGCACCAAATGCAACCGAAGCGATAGCCTAAGCTCAAAGAGGGAGCTGGAGCTCACCCTCCTTTGTCCACTCATGTGAAGGCGTGTTCCCCGCACCTTTTTGCATTTTCTGGTGCGAGGGTGGCTGGCATGCTGATCTCATTGACCACCAACGCTGACGATTTGCCGTCACTTTCTGTTTAGTTGCTTGTTTTGTCGGGGAAGTTGGATAATTCCCACTACGCGATTCAGCTTGTGGGGCTGCTCAGGTCCCGGTAAAATAGGTCTTCTGGTCGCCGTTTCCGGTTGTTCGATATATAGGTAGCACAATGCCCGGAAAAAAAACCGGACTGCAAAATTTATTCCCCACCACCACAAAAAAAGTAGCCCATTCAATCTGCAGTCATTTTGCCCTCTGCATCTATGATCTGGCAAAGCAAAAAACGTCATTGTGGCTATAAGTAGTGCCTTTTGCATCAAGATAATCACAAATCCCTTGAACGCATATTC